CATTAAGATTAGATTCACTAGGCTGTGGGAGATGTATCTCAACCTGTGTTTCCTCCATGTCAACCTAAAACCCAAACAAGACTCTTAAGACGAATGAGGCCTTTACTTTATCATTGGTACAATAGCGAGGATTCACTGAGGCTATAAAGGAATTACATAACCGCCTATCTAATACTAGAAAATCAATCTGTTCAAAGTGCACAGCAACTGAGGTCCCCGTTATTCGTTACCCAGAAAATATACCTTCGAACCTCATTCTGATTCAAAATGGGAGACGATTGTGAGGCATAACCTACGAACGAAGTGCTCAACGTCAAAAGACTTGATCCTTTTACCGTACATATCTAACTCTGACCTATTGACTCGCTACTATAGCTGGTTGAGCTTATTGGGAGAAAATGAATTTTTCCGAGCTCAGTTGTACTTAATACAATATAACCTGAAATTATATTGAGTGGGCATGCTGTGAGAGAACCTTCCGCACTTCTCACAAACGAATACCCTTTGTGGATACAGATTAGTGCTTCTCTGATGTCCAGGTTCATCGCCCTGTCACTCACAGCACAGGCTTGTCTTCCCAGTTCAAGCATACCTTCCAATCCTCCTGGGTTACGGAAACAATTGTTTGCATCATTTGATACCAGTGTCATCCAGGAAAGTGAAAGCAGTGACTTCTACATTGACAGGTGCCCGTTAGGGGTGCCCTCGATGGCTTGTATAGCTAATATCGTTGATCACGAAAAGGGTTGCAATGAGTTTCCCCTATTGGACTGAGGAATTGTGAAATAGGTCTCGAGGCATAAACAAATTTTATATGGGTTGTTGCTTGGGCTAGCAGGATATGCAAAATATTTCATGCATTTGGACGATGACTGAAATATATCCAGTACCCATGGTAACGCGAACGGTTGAAGGTTGTTTTTCAAAAGAAAATCCATTGTTCTGGTCGCCTAACGAATAAGTCGTCATCAGAAAACCAAGCATGTATTAAAATGATTTAATTGGAAGTGGATGAAAAGTTACGAGACGTACTTAGCGCCTTTCAATGACAGGTTAGCTTGCGGGAAACCTAGTTATCACAGGATTGATTAAAGTCCTGGGAAGGCTGACTGATCGAGTTAAGACGTCACCTGGACATTTTGCGCGGAACTCTCGCATGGGTTCTGTATTTAGCATCTGAAGGGTGAACGAACTTCTTAAAGGACGCATGCTCTACTTGATACTTTGAACGTCATTGGGAAACGAATGAACTGTTGAAGAGGACAGGGAAAGTATGAAGAGGCTGTCCAACTATGGCATAAGGAGCAGGCATCAGTGGAATAGATAAGATAGGGCGGATCCCTTCAAAAAATGTGCCCTGGGCGAGAACGGGATGAGCCACTGAATCATGGTTACGAGGGAAGAAATGAGGGGTTTTCGGCAATAATGT